CCCAGCCCGGAAAGGAACGTAGCACCTGGGTTTCTGTCTCTGCCTCTCAGGGAAACAGCCGTGTGGAGGGGCCGTGGCAAGTCTAGATCCTGGGAAACAGGTTCTCAAGGCCTGATGCCAAGCGGGCAAGTTTGGGCAACCAGGACGCCCGCATGGCTGCGCCCTCTCTGCACATCACGAGCTGCTCCAGTAAACAAGGGCTCAGGCTAGGTCTCCGTGTGGCCTGTGGGTCCCTGGGGCCTAGGGCCTGGGCAGACACTCAGGAACTTGGCGAGAGGGCCTGAGTCTGTCTCCCTCCATCGCCCTCCACCTTCTCAGAGACCATGACTGCCCCCCATGTAGGAGCCGTGGGGGCGCTGGGTGGGGGGAGAGTTATCAACTGCGGATTCATAAGATGAGGTCACCTCCCACCCTTGGGGAACCCCGGTGGGCACACCGCCTGGGCAGTTTCCTGCTATTCGAAGCCAGACTGAAGTTTCCTCTGGCCATGAAGTTCTCCTGGAAAGACCCCAGAGCAGTGATGGTGGGGAGGGATCCCTGCACCCCAGCATCACAAAACAGTCTGGAGAACCGCATGGAGGGGAGAGAAGGCAGCAGGTCGGAGGGGCGGCATCCGCCGCTCCCAGAAAGGCCCTCAGCCCCAACACACCTGGTCCCGTGCGCAGGTGTGCAGGCAGGAGGCATCTTGTCCCCAACAGAGCCTTTGGGCACACGTTCCCCCCTCCCCCCGCCTCCCTCGCCCCATGGCCTGGAGTCAGCACATGTTCCTTGGATCTGGTGCCAGACTGAAGAGCCGGCATGGAAGCTGAGGCACAGCCGGGGGCACGCGCGGGCTGGGGAAGCGTGGGGCGGCACTGGCTCGGCCTCCCAGGAGGTCTCTGCAGTGGACGAGGGGGGAGTAGTGACAGTGGGGCGTCACTCTGCTCTCCTCTCCTCCTCTAGCCCGGCAGTGTGGGGAGTGCAAACCCTGGCTTCTGCCAGGCCCACAGTCCAATTCCGCGTGCACACCGCAACACACCAGAAACCCACTCTCGCCCATTCCCCTGATCCAGCCATCCCTATCCCGATCAGTGGCCACATGGGAACCCTCCGGAAAGTTCTTTGCGCTTCCTTCCCACAGCTGCAGCTCGCTCCGAGCAGCACGTTCCACAGCTAGACGGTCACATGGCTGGGGAGGGGCCGCGCTCACTCAGCATCTCCCACCGGCCCAGGCTGGGTGGTGGGGCAGGAGGTCACTGACTGCAGCCACTTCTGTTTTGTTTTACTCTTTTTGGGCCACACCAGCGATGCTCAGGGGACCCTATGGGATGCAGGGATGGAATCTGGGTCAGCTGTGTGCAAGGCTAACACCCTCCCCACTGTGACGTCGCTCCCCCTGACCATCAGCCATGTCCTGTGTCGGCACCTACTCAGGGACCTTGTCCTGTAAAGACGGGGAGAAGCAGGATCAAGCCGACTTGCCACAGAAGAACACACCGAAGTACAACGAAACGCCGAGCAACGAGGAGGGCACGTCATGGGAGGAACGGAGGCCAGTCTAACAGAGGCATGCACGCCCAGGAGAAAGGCCTGACCTGGCCTCACTTTACTAGGAAGGACACTTAGCCCAGAGCATCAGGCCGAAGAATCCCTGGGGACACCCTCCCCAACCCTCAATGGCCATGAGCAATCACGCTCAGATTCCCGAGGACCCTTTCAACTTCCCGGCCCACTGCCCATGGTGACTCAGGTCCACTCATTGTGGAGAAGAAAGCGAGTATTATTGCCCATGCAACAATAGCCAACGCAAACCTTCAAGTGAGAAATGTGTCTCCAGGGCAACAGCATGGCAGGGAGAGAGTTTGCCTTGCATGCAGCTGACCCGGGTTCAATCCCCAGCGCCCCACATAGTCCCCTGAGCATCTCTAAGGGTGATCCCTGAGTGCCAGGCCCACAGTCCAACTCCGCGTGCACACAGCAACACACCAGAAAGAAAGCCACTCTCGCCCGTGAGTGAGAGCCACGAGTAAGCCCTCACCTCATGGGCTGCATGTGTGTGTATCTGTGTATCTGTGTGCCTGGCTGTGTGTCTGTCCGTGTCAGTGTGTCTGTGTGTCTTTGTGTGTCTTTCTGTTTGTGTGTATATCTCTGTGTTTGTTTCTGTGTGTGTATGTGTGTGTGTTTCTGTGTGTCTGTGTATATGTACCTGTGTGTGTCTCTGTGTGTGTCTGTGTGTCTCTCTGTGAGTGTCTGTGTTGTTTGTGTGTGTCTATGTGTGTTTCTGTGTGTATGTCTGTGTGTGTTTGTGTATCTGTGTGTTTATGTTTGTGTGTGTTTGTGTGCGCACGCACGTGTTAGGGGGTAGTATTGCTGAGGTTGCAGGTATGTCACAGTAAAACCCCACACATCGATGTCAATAAACCTACCCTGGGTCCCTGGGGCAGCACTGCCTTGTCCTTCCTAGCCTGGCTTTCCTTCTCCCGCATCAGACCTGGAGAGCTCCAGGTCATGCAGGGCCCAGGGCCCTCCCAGTACCACCCTCCCCGGCCACAGCAGGCGCCAATCTGTCCCCCAACTCACAGATGGTCAGCTCCCACCTATGGCTCCCCCGGGAGGACACTCACCCTCGGCGTCCACACACCAGAGGCCGGGCCAGCAGGAGTACCTCGACACAGGCCTCCACGCGGACTGAATCCATGGAGAGGCCCATGGCCGACCCCCATGGGCACCCACAGCACAAGGTCCCCAGAAAGGACCAAAATACTATGGCCTGGCTGTGGCCTCCTGACATGGGCCCCTCCCCCCCCCCCCCCCACGCACCGTCTGCACCCGCTACCCCTCTCTGCGTGTGGCCTCTGGCTTAACCTTCACCTCCTCTGGGGGTACCTCCTGATTCCCTAGGTGAGGGGCTGCCCACAACGCCCCCCCACCCAGCACCAAAGGTAACAGGGCAGACCTGTCCTGTCCACAGCTGCGTCTCCTTCACCTTGTCAGACACTGGATCTGCCAGAATGAACATGAGAAGGGTCAGGCCTGCACTGAGAGCTCCCGGCTGGCAGAGCCAAGTATACTCTACTCTGCCCATTTCTCACAAGAAGCAAACAGAAGGCGGCTTGATTCTGGGAGCGGGGGAGAAGTGATTGTGGAAGGGCCGGATGTGTGGAACAAAAATGCTTTAGAAGGAGGTTTCCTCAGGGCCCGCGTATGAAGCAGGCCTGGAGAGCTGGGCCAGACCCGACGCAGGGGCCAGAGAGACCAGAGTGAGGTCAGGGGTGAGCAGCCGACCCTGACAAGACAGACACGCTGCCCGGGAGCGGGTACCCGGTCACACCCGGAAAGCCCCTCCGTGACGAGGCCCCGCCAGGACAGAGACGGCATGGAGAGAGATGGAGGTGGAGAGGGATGGGGACAGAGAGACACAGGGATGAAGAGAGATGGGATGGAGAGAGATGGAGACAAAGAGAGATGAGAATGGAGAGAGATGGGAATGGAGTGAGACAGGGATGGAGAGAGAGATGGGCATAAAAAGACACGGGGATAAAGAGAGACAGGAATGGAGAGAGACGGAGACAGACAAGGACAGAGAGCGATGGGGATGGAGAGAGACGGGGATGGAGAGAGAAAGGGACGAACGGGGAGAGACAGGGATGAAGAGAGAGGGAGATGGGGAGAGATGGGGATGGAGAGAGATGGGCACGAAGAGAGACGGGGACAGAGAGAGAAAGGGACAGGGAGAAACAGGGATGGAGACAGATGGAGACAGGAAGAGACAGGGATGGAGAGAGACGGGGGGGGCGGAGAGAGAAGGGAGTGGAAAGAGAAGGGGCTGGGCTCCTCAGAAGAAAAAAACATCCGAGATGGGGAAGTGCTGTTGGTGTTGAGCCAGGGAGACGGGACAGGGTTAAGGGACTCGCCATGCCCACAGTGGACACCAGCTCAATCCCTGGTGGCACATACGGTCCCCAGGGTATCACCGTGGATCATCCTTAGCACAGAGCCTGGACTCAGCCCTAAGCAGTCGGGTATGGCCCCCAAGGTCCAACACATGCACACACACAAACACACGCGCATTGCGCACACACATGCACACACACATGCTCGCACATACACATGCACACATATGCAAACATACATGCACACATATGCGCACACTCACACACGCACACATATGCAAACACATATGCACACATGTGCACACGTGCATATGAACACACATGTACACACATGCACTCACACACACATACGCACATGCACATGTGTGCGCATACACACAAAAAACATGCAATAAAGGAGAAACGCTGTCAGGTGGAGCCAGATCTCTGCAGAGGGTGGAACGCTCTGCCCAGAGGTAATGGCGAGCAGGGAACTGCCCAGACAGATGGCAGGAAGCGGGCACAGGCCCTTCTGCATGTCACAGACCCTGTGTCTCAGGGGCAATCACGACACTGGGCAGGTAGTTAGGACGTGGAGCTAAGTGAGAAACCACATCAGTGTCAGAGGCCATGAGGCTTGGGACAACACGAATCGATCTGTGATTGACCAAATAAGGGTGCAAAGGATCCGTGACCAAGAGACCTAACTTCCCAAACACATTTTTATTGACAGCAATCAAATGAACATGAGAAATAAGTGGCTTTAGAGTTAAAGCCTGGAATTTCAGTGTAAACTCTACTACCATTTTCATTTGGTGTGTTTTGGGATCAGGACTTACTATTTCATCAGAAATTTACCCTCTTTTGAAAAGACTTCATTTCAAAAAAAGAAAGAAAATACTTCATTTCCAACCCTTTTTGGGAGAGAGGAATGTGCTTAGAACAGGCTGATTTTTCCTCTCTCAATGGAAGAGTATCTTGTGTACTGAAAAGAATTCTAGCCTTTGTGATGGGCTCTATGCAAAAGTTAAAATGACGTCTGGAATTTTTTAAAAGGTCATTCTAATTTCAAAACCGTTAACATCTGAAATGATATCATATTTAATCATCAGGAGACTGTCCAAAAGATAAGGAACATGTAATACTTACTTTTGCCGCCCCTATCTGCTCTTTCCGAAACTTTTCAAGCGGTGCTATTAACACATCGTTGGCGTTTTGAATCTGGAATTAGAAATGCAAACACATCAAATCATGCCTCACTTCATTCAAGCAATAGTGAAAAAGATAACTTATTCGACTTATTACTCAATTTATTATTCAATTCCTTTATTCAACTTACTTATTTATTCAACTTATTTAACTATGAAGCCTTTGTTCTCTTGCTTGCGTGTATCTAAATGAGATTTTAAAAAAAACAGCTTGCGAGTTGTATTTGTTTTTCTATTTTAATTTTTGCTGTTGCTGCCAGGGTTATTTGCTTGTTTGTGGCACAGGGATCCAGCCTGGAGCAGCACACGTGGACATTATTCTGCCAACCAGCCACTCCTCCAAGTCTTTACAGGGAGTGTTCTTACAAATCAACCCACATGATTCTAAGAATCAAAACAAGTGTGTGTGTGAGATCTCAGCTTGAATATTTAAACTGCATGTCATATTCGAAGATTCAACAAGGAAATAGCACGCTGGAGTTTAAACTTACAAATACCTTTAATGACACTAGCTTAATTTAGCCAGCTCCAGCCTCACTTTAAAACCAGCCCATTGAAAAGCTTTGCCACTAGCACGCTAGAAGCTGACAGCGGCAAAATAAAGTCAGGTTCACATTTTTCCTATTTAATTAGATTTTTTTACACTTGAGATTTGCCGGCATGTTCTCATTACATTTCCAGCCCCACTAAAATAGTATCTTGGTTTCAATTCCACGAATAGCACTGGAGCTCTAATTGGTATTTACTACAATTTTAAAACAAATATTTGGGGAACAATCTGTAAGGCGTAGACGGGGAAGGGGGCAGAGACCAGTCACTAGAGACAGATGCACGGAGGTTAGCTTCAGGCTGGGAGGGAATCTCAAGAAAGTAAACAAGAACATTAGAAAACATTTAAAAAATTAAATGTAAGGTCTTAAGTGTTTTGTTTTACCACAAAGCAGAAATAGAAGTTATGTGGCGGAACGAGGCCAATATTATGGCCACGATATTCTGTCCTATAAAAACGTGTCCAGTCTCCATGCCGGGCCCCTTCACAACATACAATGCACACAATGCAGGGGGTCACGGGCCAAGCAGAGCTCCATAAAGCTACAGGGGGCGGCCGGTGGGGCCGGAATAACTGGGACAGCGGGGTGAGAGCACCCTCGTCACACTCCCTGAGCTCAAGGACAGAGCGGATGTGCACAAAAGTAAGGACTAGAACGCGAGCTCCTTCCACGATTCTACAGGAACACAGGGCACAGACCTGGGACAGTCCTAATGTTGTGGGTGGCCCCGGGGCTCTGCCCCCAGGGCCCGGCTCCCACCTTCTTCCTCAGAACCCCCGTGGGCGATTACTCTAGAGCAGCTCCACCCTCACTCTTCCTTCCTTCCCTCTAGTCCTTCTGTTTCCACAAACCCACAGTCCACACCTGGCACTCCACAGGGTCCCAGGTGTCCACTTCACAGAGGCACAAAACAGGGATCCCACCCTTAAGAAAGCCCGAAGGGGGCAGGGGATGGTCAGGAGTGGCAGAGACCTCACAAGGGATGTCCTTAGCCTGAGCTCCAGCAGAACCGGGCCTTCAGCACCATCGGCATTGCCCCCTAACGTGTGGCCCCAATGAGGTGCATTGTCATGTGCCATTTGGACACACACTCCCCTTCACACTCTTCCCCTCCCCCATGCTTAGGGCCTGCCCCCAGCTCTGAGCTAGGTGACTCCCACAGGAGCGTGGGGGACCATGCAGTGCCCGGGACTGAGATCAGGGCCCCTGCAGGCAAAGCATATTCTCAGGCCATTAAAAACAGACTCTGAACCAGAATGATAATACTGCATTTGCCCTGCTCATGGCCGAGCCAGATTCAATCCCTGGCACTCCACAGGGTCCCAGGAGTTCAGCCAGGAGCAATTCCTGAGCACCGAGCCAGGAGTAAGCTCTGAGCACCGCTGGGTGTGACCCCCCCCCAAGCCAAACCAAACCCAAACTAACAAAAGAGACCTCTACAAAACCTCTGGCCCCCCAAAGAATTGTGTTTATGAAAGAAGCTGGCATAGGGGAAAGAGCATCCTGAAGACCTCAGCATCAGGTGAAAAGCAGCCATCCCAGAAGAGCGAATTTGGGGGCTGGAGCGATAGCCTTGCACGTGGCCGACCAGGGTTCAATTCCCAGCATCCCATATGGTCCCTTGAGCACTGCCAGGAGTAACTCCTGAGTGCAGAGCCAGGAGTAACCCCTGTGCATTGCCAGGTGTGACCCAAAAAGAAAAAAAAAAACCCAGAAGAGTACATTTCACTGTCACATTCACTCTTGGCTGGCAACAAGGATTCAAAATAGGGAGACACACACAAGTGGAGAGGCTGAAGGGGAGGCAGGGCTGGGGCCATCCTGAGTCTCATGCCGCTAACTGAGCTCTCCGAAGTCTTCTTAGCTATCCCTCTATGGACAGTGGGGCCTGACCAGTTGACCCTCTATGGATAGTGGGGTCTGACCAGCTGTCCGTCTGCGAAGGGGGCGGGGGGGAGCTGTCGCTCTATTGATGGTGGTGGGTGACGGCTCCAAGGACCAAGGTCACTGGGTGCCTGTTTCCCAAGAGACCGGGATAAGGAGTCTCTCTCTCTCTCTCTCTGCATTCTCACTGCTCCTACACCCCCGCCCCCTCCACTCCCCCAGCCCGCCACAGGCCCTTCTGGCTGAAAGCCGCCCATCTGCACAGTGGGGCACTGGCTTCCAAGCCGCCCCCGCAGAATCCAGGAAGGCAGACAGGGCGGGACAGCCCCTTCCCCCCCACCACCACAGCTGTGCCCGGACATGTACCCACATGCACACTGGCAAGGTGGGGGCTGGGGGAAGGCGCCAGGCAAGGCTTCCCAGAAGGCCATTCATTGCCCTGGGAAGAGGATGGCTGGGGTTGGGATGGGGGGCATGTTTCTGGAAAACCAGACAGACAAAAGCAATGAGAACGGCCACCGGCCAATGCCGCAAATCTCTCCGTATCAATGCCGCCACAGGAAAGATCCAGGAGGGCGGGATGAGCTGGAATCCTGTCTGGACAGACGGAGGGCTGCAGACACCGGAAAGAAAGAACATTCTGGAAGCAGGAGTGGGGAAGGCGGGTGTGTGTGTGTTGGGGGGCGGGGGGGTTGGAGGGGGAGAAGCCCTGGAGGGTATCTCCTAAAAGGAGAGGGTGAAACTCACATTTCCTGTGGAACGGCTACAGAACGCTTAAAAAAACTAGCAATGGCACTGGCAAGATAGAGCAAGGGATTAATTCCTAATGAAAATGGACAGCATGGGCAGCCTCTTGGACTTTCCTTCTTTCCTGCAGCCAATCGCAGTGCCCGTGTCTTTTTTTTTTTTCTTTCTAACTGCCAGGGGGAGTGTGAGCTGGAGCCAGGCCCCAGTGGGCTTCTCGGGTAGAGAATCGGCTGAGGCAGGCGGCAGGCGAGAGACTCACCATTCCGGGCTCCTGGCTAGCTGACTGAAATCAAAGTCTTTAATGAAACCGTGCAGACTCATAAAGGAAGGAATTCAGCCAAGGCACTGCTATTTTCTCAGACTGGAGCTGAGCGAGCAGGAGGAGAGGGAAATCTGCAAGATTTCATGGAACCCAGCAATTTTATGATTGAGTCATAACTCTGGGCCATTCCAAATCAAAATCTCGGAGCACTGGATTACTCTAGCAGAAGCGCACGTGTTTTGTTTTTTTTTTTTAAGACTTTTTTTTGGTTCTAAAACTTCGTTTTATTTCTCCTAAACCAGAATTCTCTAATTTAAACTGAGACTATTTCCAAAGCATCCACTTACTGGGGAAAAATATGTTAAACATTTGCTATCACGGCGATACAGTCCCTCCTCACAGCTCAGCCAACCTAGTAATTACTTGCTCATTTATAACTCCATCACGATTGAGGCCAAAAAGAAAAAAAAAATCAGCAAAAGGTCAAACTCTTTTCAGCTGTAAATGACAAAGATATATGAAGGGTCAAATCAGAACTGACATAGTAAAAGCTACTTAAAATAATCGCTCCAGATGTTCTCCACACCCGGTCACTGGAACAGACGCTTTTCCTTCCAGACTGACCCCGAGCGCACATGCAGAGATGCATCTCCACAGCTTCCTGGGTGGTGTGTCACCTCACAGTCACGTGACGAAGATGCTGTCAGTGAGCCTCTCCCAGAGGGCCAAGCTGCACCCAGGGTCCGGGCAGTGGGGTGCTAGGTCCCACCTAGTTACGGGCAAACGTTCTGCACATATGCTGTTCCTTGAACCTAAGCCCAATCAGGAAGCCCGGGGTGCTGCCCACACAGAGATGCTAACGGGCTGGTGAGCGCCTCAGGAGATGCCAAGACACCCCTAGTCCAGCTGGCATGGGCCCATTGCGCTGATGGAAATATCCCTCCCTCCCACCCACACCCCAGCCCTCATCGTGGCTGCACTAACGGTGGTCTCAGGACTTCTCCCAGCCTCTTATCCTGGGGTTTGGAGGGGTCTAAAAGGCTTTGGGGTGGGGTGGGGTAGGGCTGGGCGGGAGTTTCAACACAATGATGATTTGTGTATCTCTGCCCCTCTCAAAACTGTTTCTCACGACCAAAGTGATCTTTGGAGAGAAACATTCAAGTCATTCATCTGTTTTAAATTCTTCATTTGTACACTCCAGCAAATTTCTAATCATCTCGCTAAGTTTATAAAACAAATGAAAATTTATTAAATTAACTCCCAGAGTCACAGTTGTTTTAAACCAATTACATTTTAGCAGCGAAATGTTAATGTACTTTAATTATAATTGCTCAGTATTTCTGTAATGGCACGCTGTTCAAACCTTAAGATTTAGGATATCCCCAAGTCTATGCAATTTCTCAAATTGCTTACTGTAGTTCTGGATAAACCCCAGGGGTGGGGATGGAAGGGGTGGGCAGAGGAGAGACGGGAAGAACATGTGCAGGGAAGGTACAGACTGGGAGTGGGAGGGGTGCTAGAACACGAGGGTACCTCAGGAAAGAATGCTCTCCCTCCCTCCCCCTCTCC